AACACTCCCCAAACCCAAAACCCCTAAACCCTGAACCCTATATATATATATATATATATATATATTATGTATATATATATATATATTATATATATACCCTAAGCCGCAAAGTTTTAGCCCACAAGGCCCAGCGTGTCACTCTTCTGCACAGCTCATGCCTGCTAGCATAGCTGGGCTATGCTCCTTCATGGACTCCCCGGATCTGCCAAAATCCCTTCATTCGGGTTTTGGGTTTAGGGCCTAGGGATTTCCAGATCTTCCAAAATCGCTGGAGGAAGCCGCCAAATCTTGATTTAAAAGGATCATAACACCCGTAAACCCCGTTTTGAAATCCTCAATGACCAAAAAATCTTATCAACACCCTGTACAAGAGTAAGAGCCGACACAAATCCTATGAAACATCCTTCCCTTCAAAGAAAGCGGAAGGACAAAAACGCCCTAAACCCTAAACCCTCAACCATAAACCCTAAACCCTAAACCCTAAGAATCAAAAACACCGCTCCTTCGCCAGCTCCTCGGCCTTGTCGATGCGCGTCGCCGCGCGTTTCCGGCGCTCCGCGGTAGACTGGCACCAGACCGATTTGGGGTTTAGGGTTTTTTGGGGCTTATACGTAGGGCTTATAGGCTTTATAGGGCTTATAGGGCTTATGGGGTTTATAGGGCTTGTGGGGTTTAGGGTTTTGGGTTTGGGTTGGGGTTTTAAGAGGATTGATGGGGTGTTCTAGGGGTTTTGAGGGCTTGACACGATTTAAAAGGGTGTTACTTAAAGGTTCGTCGGACCTAGTAGCTAGGGTTATAGATAAGGTAACTATACTTATAGCCCCAATTAGGGTACTTATAACTGTACTTATTAAGTCCCATGAACCTCCAAGTATGTGGTTGTATAGGGCTCTGGAGCCCGAGCCGTTTCGCTACACCGGGGGGAAGGGGGGGAGGGCATTACCATGGAGGGGCAGGGTACCCGTGAATGCTAGGGTTCCACAAGGGTCTTGAAGGTTCTTTCAAAGGATTCCTTTTTGCAGGTTTCGGGATTTTTCAATCAGTCAGTGAGTCATACGCCGCGCGGCGCGCGGACAGGTATGGCTTGACGCACCGTACGATGCCAGACAATGGGGTCATGATTTTTGGTGCGGGGCTTTAGGGTTTAAGGTTTTGGGGGGCTTGAATAGGAGTACTTTGCCTCAAGCAGAGGTATGTGGCTGCAAGTTATAGGCATTTAGGCCCTTTCGGGTCCGATAGAGGGTAGCTGGAGCGTCTAGGTTGAGAGCAGCTTCTATAAGTACGAGTAACAAGACGAGCAACTGTCTGGGCACTCAGTGGGGTCTTAATAAATTTGAATAGGGTTTTTGGGTATACTATGCCACAAAAAGAATAAGGAGCCCCCAAAAAGTATAGGTAATTGTTAAGGCCCCTATAGGAATTCAACTCTACGCCCTTTGGGTTCTATGTAGGGGGGTAAGGGAAATGCACTACGAAGGCCTCTGCAGTGACAGACGACAACAAAAACCGAGCCTGATCTCCCTCATTGGCATTCGCCGCTGCAGTCTCCTTCAGGTTTGGGTTTTGGGAGGGTTTAGGGTATGGAACCCTAAACCCTAAACCCTAAACCCTAAACCCTAAACCCTAAACCTTGGACACTTTAGAGTCTAGCGTTTGCAGGGTTTAGTTGAGGGCTTTCGAGTCTCGGGGGCTTGGGGCTTGGCTTCCGACTGGTCGCCTTAACAGCCACCTGTGCTGGGGGCCGGAGACACACTCTAAATGCTCGGATCGGCTTGCTATCTGCCTGGCCCACCCCGAACAATTCTAAGGATTCGGGGCGACTGGAACACTGATGGCCAATCGCAAGCACAGTTTCAACAGACCTTCAACTAGGCTGAGTCAAATATAATATTACATTCATAAGCATGCATGAGCCCCCAGCCCACAATCACACCCTTATAGAACCCGACTTGCACGTCATCCTGCTGAACCCATCAACCCGCCTGAAATGTAAGGTCTTTACAAGTCCGCTACGAAGCTTCGCGGAGGCCTTGTTCGCGATGGCTAAGTTGACCATCACAGCAAGGAGGAGGCATTTCGACTCCTCCTGCGTAGCTAAGGCTCCGAACTCCGGAGCTCTGGATTTCGATGGCTTTTTTGAATTTCATACTGGCTTTGTGTGAGTGCGGCTTGCAAGGTCCAGGATCGGCGCTGCGATGTTCTTGTTTTGGAGTCGATTTCGGGTTCAGGGCTGGGGAGTTACGTGGGCTTAGAGCTGATGGGGTTTAGGGTTTAGGGTTTAGGAGGTTGACGTTACTTCGGCCTGGTCGGCGCAAGCACTGCAGCTTTTTGCTTTGTTTTCGCAGTTTCGCAGGATCATACAGCGTCGCATGGGGTTTCGGGCAACTCCGATCCGAACTCCAACAGCCAACATGGCAATCTGAAAACATATCCCCTAAACCCCTCAACCCCCAAACCCTGAACCCCTCAACCCCTCAAACCCTAAACCTAAACCCTGAGCTCAGCAGTCGAAGCCCAGGACACAAAACTCCATAAATACCGAACCGAAAGGCCCAACATCCTAAGGCCCAACCGACCTAAGCCTAAAAGCCCCGAAACCCCGAACCCTAAACCTCAAGAACCACCCCAATCCAAGACCCTACAGCCGTAGCCTTCTTGTTGCCCTCTTGCCGGGAGCACGTCAACGCCTCTCCCGTGTGGCTTTCAGGCTTCGACTCCGGCAAGTGGGGACTCGGACAGGGGCTTCTTGGGATTGTCTAATACTCATAAGGGTTTAGGGTTTAGGGCTTAGGGTTTAAATACAGGAATTAAGTACTTTTTCCGCTCTCAAAACACTTACCCTTTTCAGGGTATGAGGCCTAGGCTGTCGGGTTTTGGGGTCTCGGGTTTTCTGAAGGGGCCCTTTTGGAAACAGAATTCGAAGGCTGAAGATGGGAGATGAAACCTCTGCAGCAAGCCCAGCAGAACAAGGCACAACACTGTAGCAGGCTCGCACCTTCTTCATCATCCGAAGGGCATCGTTGAGCTGGCCAGACTCCTTGGTCAAGACCCTAGACCCTAAACCCCAGGCTTGGCTAAGAAGTTTGTGCTGTGGGTGTAAGGGTTAGGGTCTGAAACATTTTCCTACATTACTTCCGACCTGCTCATAAACGAGCCTCGCAGTCGGCCTGAAGGGCTCAAAAGCTGCAAAGCTCTGAGTTTCAGGACTCTTAAACCCTAAACCCTGAACCCTAAACGCTAAACCCTAAACCCTAAACCCTAAACCCTAAACCCTAAACCCTAACCCGAAGCCCATGCTTCAGGCCCCGGAGCTCCGCGCGAAACCCGCAGCATCCAAATTCTGTGCACGGACGTAGGTGCCGAGCTAGGTGCAGGCCCGTGAGCATATGGTACCTCGAAGGGGGTTTAGGGTTTAGGGTTTAGGGGGTTCGAAGGAAGGGCACTTCAAGGTCACAGAAGGGCCTTGGCTAAAGGAGTGCTGAAGTGTATGAGTCATGAGGATCACTTTAAACTGAACACAGGGACAAGCAGAGAGAGAGAGAGAGCTCTGCAAACCTAAGCTTCAAGCCCTCGAAAGCTGGAGACCCAAAGAGGCACGAAGTGGAAAGTACGAAGGATGGGTGTGCTGGAAAGTGAGCAGGGAACTGGTGACTACATCGTTGCCATGGAGTGTTTTTTTCGAGCTGCGCACAAGATTTCAACAGGAAAGGCTTCGAACTCTCAAACCCCCAGGCTATGGCCAGTTAGCTTGCAGAACACAGGAGCAGAAGTGCTCAGCAGAGGCTGCGGTATGTCGACCCTGCACAGCATAGTATGAGACCACCTGGGCGCCCAGACGCGCTGCACTCCAGGTGCTTGCAGAATGCCCGCTTGGCCAGTTCCTCTTCATCTCTTCAATTTCCCTAAACCCTAGAATCACCTCAAACTCTACCGCAAACCGCAAACCCTAAAACCCTAAAGCCTAAACCCTAAATACCCTAAACCCTAAAAACCCTAAGCCCTAAGTTTGGGACTTGGTGGAGTGAGTGAACTTCAGGAGGCTTGGATTCGGATCCTCAGTCTTTGTGACTTCCTTGAACTCTGTAGAGTTTAGGGCTTAGCGCTTTCGGGTTTTAGGGCTTAGGGTTTAGGGCTTTAGGGTTTAAGGTTTAAGGTAGCCCTAAGCTTCATAAACCCGTAAGCCCTAGGCCCTAGACTCGAACCCCGTGATCACCAACCTGGACACCCTGAACACTAAATCCCTAAACCGACAGACTCTAAACCCTCCTTGCTTCGGGCACTCTTTCGGATCCCTGCGTGGGGGCGATAAACCCCGCTCAAGACCCAAGCACGTACTTTAATATCAATACGGGCAGTGAGATAGCGAACCAAAGACGCCCCAAAATTCCCACACTGAATTCCCCACGCTAAACCCCGAAACCTAAACCTTAAAGCACTGAACCCTAAATTCCCCGGTCAGTGATTCCCTGAAGAGCCTGGGCTTCGACGCACATCAGAACGGCCCCGGCCTGCAACAGGGTTTAGGATGTGGGGTTTAGGGTGTTAGGGCTTAGGGCATTTGGGGCTTCGGGTTTAGGGTTAGGCCTAGCGCGGTTTGGGGTTTAGGTGTAGGGTTTAGGGCTGAGATCGGAGTCGAACGACTACACCGCTTTTCAACCCTATCTCACAATCGTCTTGCAACCACTACGCATGTACCACGTATACAGAATATGTATGTATATACAGAACCTACATCCCAATCAAGCCCTGCACAGCCAAGCACAAATTACAAATAAACCCCTAAACCGCCCCATACCCTTAACC